TTTTTTGCGGAACCAGGAATTGAACTCAGGCCGCTGCGCTTGCTAGGGAAGCGCTTATTCCACTGAGCCATATCCCCAGCCCCAAAAAGAAATATCAGTACAAGTATCCTTAAAGTTCAAAGTACTAAATCTGTATGTTTAAGTTTTGAATAGTCTATATTGTTTTAAACAAGAGCATTCTTTAAACACCATTATGACTTATGGGTTGTTTTGTTCTTAAAAGGGAAAAGCAAAGAGAGATTAAAGACTAGTTGCTTGGAGAAAATGGAAAATTAAAAAAATCAGTGAAATAGACATTTGTGTGTGTGTGTGTGTGTATTAGCCAGGACCTAACATTTGCAAGCACTCTAACACTGAATAACACATAACCACTGAGTATTAGAGTTAACTAGAGTTACTCTTTAAACAATATTTCCAGTAATAATTTTTAAAATTTTAAGCTAACAACAATAGTCATATCAGTAGTTTGTGGAATTTATATAAAGTCTTACAGAAGAAATGTTCTACAGGATAGAGATCAGTTGATTAGCTTAATCAACGGCCTTGAATTAGGCAACTGTGAAGCAAACAATAGTGCTAATGGGTGAAAGCAAACTAAGTTTCATTATTATCTAAATTTCCAAAATTAAACTCATAATTTTATTTTTAAAAATCCCAATCAAATGCAAATATAGGAAGAACATACTTGAATAATTAGAGTTTGACTTGAGAAATCTGTGATTGAATTCAAGACTTCTAATAATTGTCTAATATATCCTAAAGAAAAAATAGTATCCGTGTATTAATTAAACAAAATACTTCAATATCTAATTTCCAGCAGAGACTAGTGCTTTAAAATAAAAGCATTATGACTCCTACAATTTTGTTATTCCAAGATTATTTTCAATATTTTGGATCTCTTTCTTGCATTTTAATATGAATTTTAGACTTAGTTTTGCATTTTTTCACAAATAATCTCAGATTTTGATAATATTCTTGTGAATCTGTAAACCAATCTTAAACTACAAAAGTCATTTCAACAATATGTCTTTCAGTATGTGAACACTTTCTATTTTCTGTATTTAGATATTCTTTCTCTTTCAATAATTGTTTCTGGTATTCAGTGTAAAATTCTCCTATTTTATTTATTCATTTAATTACATTTTTTGAGACAAGGTCTCACTAGCTTTTTCTTTTTTGGGTTAAATTTACTCTTATGTAGTTTTGCTTTTTGAGGACTTAAGTGGAATTATTAATTTTATTTTTGGTTTGTTCAATGGTGATACATAAGAATTAAATTAATTTTTCTATATTCATCTTGTATTCTTCAACCCAGATGTAGTTATCAATTTTTGTTGTGGATTCCTCAGTATTTTGTGAGTGTAAGATAATCCCATCTGTGAATATAATTCTAGTAATTAATTTTCCAATCTTAATA